TCTTCACCTTTTTTTTTTTGCTGTGTGAAATATTGATGATGTCAATATACCTTAGCTCTTTCCACAGCCCTGACATCTAGTTTTGATCCTATTTTGGCAAATCAGTATACTGAAATCCCTGAATTTATAAATGGATCTGATGCTGTTCATTCATTTTTCCAGCCAACTGATCCTGAATAAAGTTGTCTTGAAGTTGGATTAGGCAACAAGGAATTCCTCATTCTGGAATTGATCTGCCAGGTGGTGTAATTCTTGTGGTATGTCACCAGTGCTTTGTTTGCTTTTCTCATCCACAAGAAAGAAGTCCTAATAGTGTGCTGAGGGTCACAGATTAAAGATACTTTATGAGCATTAAGACACAAATTCTTCTGCTTTCATTACACAATATCTCATCTTGCCGTGTAAAACAGATTCATTACTGCTTCAGTAACATGCTGGACTCAAACATAACCTGATGACTAGAACAACAACTTAGACCAGTGTGAATTTGCTGCACCATAAACTGTATTTCTGAGTAGTTGAAATATAGAATTGATTTGTTCTTCAAGCCAGCTGTAATTCAACAGATCATTAATGACGAATGGCAGAACGCCCCAGCCATCCTTCCAGGCACTGCTCCAGATGGAAGTCATTGGATAAAGAACAGGAAGGTTTGGCAGAATGTGAAAGAAGAATAAATTCGCTGCACATCATTCATTTTGCCTGACTGCAATAAAGTAATTGTAACACAATGTTGTCACAGGATAACGCTCTCCTGCTGCTTTAGAAATGCTTTGCAAAACAGGTGTTTACTTTCTCTGTGGGGACACATTGATCCCATGACAACAATCTTTTCTATTAAAGGAAAATTAAGTACTTATAGGTTCAGTAGTACTATAAAAAAGATTATTATAAAAAACCATATAATGTAATAGGTGAAATGATACGAACTATATATGTGATATATGTGATATGTGCAACTAATGTCTAAGAGGGATTAGTTCAAATACTTTCTTTTAGCAGTTTTGCAACTAACATTTTCTCAACAAAGGCAGATAGGACAATGCAATGCACTATGATGAAGTTGTTTTTGTTATTTTAATCTTCCAAGGCTTTGTGAGCTGTAGAAAAACAGCATTTGTGAATAAAAATAATATTAAAACTCCAGCATATGTCTAATGAGAAATGCATAGTTAATAGCAAATAAATAAAAATCATGAATAATTACCAATAAACTAACACACTCTAAATAATGGAAATTAAAGACCATGTATTTTCTGTCAGGACTGAACTCAGTTTTGTGAATTTTGCTCATTAGCACTAAGACAAAAATGTGAAAATAGATAAAAAATGAGAAAACATTTGTGATTTTCATAATCTTTTCCTTAGAATCACAGAGATGCAGAATCATTTAGTTTGGGAAAGATCTCTAAGGTCATCAAGTCTGACCTTTGACTGATCATAACCTTGTCAACTAAACCACAACTCTAATCCGTCACCTCTCTGGGCAGTCCAATCCAATGCTTAACCACCCTTTCTGTGAAAAAAAAATCTTCCTGACGTCCAGCCTGGATCTTCTGTTACAGCTGTAGGCTCTGTCCCCTTGTCCTGTCATTTGTTACCTGGGAGAAGAGCCTGACCCCACCTATCTGCACCCTCCTGTCAGGCAGCTGCAGAGAGTTGTGAGGTCCCCTTGAGTCTCCTTTTCTCCAGGCTGAACAGGCACACCCTGGATCATGCTCAGCCAGCTGTCTAATGAGAAGATGTCTAATTATGCATTAGAAATTGTAAAATAATTAGAAGTACTCATTTTTTTTTGCTAAAGTGCCTGTAATGTGGGACACATACATTTGCACTCTGTTGTAGTATGAGAGAAAAGTTGCACTGGCATTCTTTTAGTGAACCTTATTAATTTTACAGACATTCTGCTATTCACCCAATAATGTGCCAACTACAAGCTGGGGCTGATAAGACATGTATAAAAGAAGAATATTTGTTCTCTTATATGCAGTAAATGTCTATGTCTATGGGCTCTCACAGGCATTTGACTGCCAGATGAAGCAGCCCCTGTGGTATTTAGCTTTTGCCAAGGCTGTGTCTGGATCAAGAGAAATGAAATGAGAATAATTAACTGGGGACTGAATGACTTGTTTGCTCACCAGACTCACCTCCAGGATCTGCATCATCTTGAATCTTCTGCTGTCTATTTCTATTTAGTTCGAGACAACTTATGATGGTGTTTGGTAGTTTTCCAGCTGGTTGCTCTATTCAGTTCTGTGCACTTCATGTTATGAATCCCAAAGAGAGTTGCAGTATGCACACTACTGATATCTTCAGTAACTGCATTGGGCAGGTATGAGGCTTACTTTCACAGGCTTTAAAGCTTGTATCTAATCAGACTAGCCAACATGGTCTGGGTTTACTCAAAGGTCTACTTCATCTGAAGAAATGAATACTTGAAGAACCTTATGGCATTTTTTGCTTAGCTGTGAACTTCACTATCTAGATGTTGAAGGAAAATGTTTTTCATGTTCTTGAAAAGAGTTGGTTTGGTACACAAGTACATTTGGTTATGATGTCCTGACCTCAGGAATAGTCATTGAGGCAGAGAATTTTCTTTTCCACTTCAGGATCACTATGTTTTAGACATAAAATGAATATGGCCATGAGGAGCATTAGGAAAGCAATTTTTAAAGCTGCAAAGGTAACTCAGAAGCACTGTCAAATGCTACCAATAAGTTGCATTGGGAAGTGCTACTTTAAACTTCAAGAAAAAGAGGAAATTGAAGACCTAAATGGTGTCATTTTTGTCATGTTGAAACCTTTCTCCTTAGTGCTGAATAAAATGCAGGATGCCTCCAAGCGAGTTGCTTACCCTACAGCTGAAGTGCTGCACATGGAACCAGTTGACACTTTCGTATTTTTGCAGTTTAGAACTTATAAATATGTATTTGCATTTTCCATGCTAAACTATGTGGCTCTTACCCAGTTGTCACTGTCACTGCATCAGCCAGGAAACCAGTGGTAGTTTACTTCACTGAGGACTGTATGAAATGGTCTATGAGAAGGAAGTAAATTTAATGGAAACTGGACCATGTGAAGAATGTTAACATCTTAACACAGAGTACCCTGTGCTAGGGATGATGCTTAGCACCAAAGGGCACCTTCCAGATCCCTTAGTTCCTGAGTCCCCTCAATGGTGGGAGCTTGGCCTGCAGGCCATCAAGGGCTTGCGCAGCAGATCTCAAAAAATCTGTGAAAAGGAGGATTTCTTTGGAGGGAAGAACAAAAAAGGCAGAGTGACTCTTTCACCTCCCTACACTCAGATAGTGATGAATATTGTTAATCCCTCGAGGAGGAAACACAGAGAAGGACAACAGATCTGAAGGTTCATGTGTGAATTACTTGAATGTGAAGTCATGCCTGATTCATGTCCTAGGGCTGCCGAGGGAATCACCAGGACTGCAAAAGAAAGTCTGTGCATCCCAAGTGTAATACTTCCCATGGCAACAGAAGGTAGTATGGAACACTCTGGCTTTACTAGACATCCTTTCAAGCCACAGGTTTCAATCATCAGACTCCATATCTGTTTCTATTTAAAAAAAAAATTTAAAAAAGACACTGTGCAAGTCAAGGGAAACAAGGATGACACACCAAAAGAATGTCCTGGCAAAGGTTGTTGTGTCCCAGTTAAAAGCAGCATGTTCAGCCATAGACCTGTGCCCCCTCTGAGAGCAGACACTGGCTTGTGCTGCCTGGGGCCATGCTCAAAAGCTCCTTCACACCTGTGGAAATCTCCCTAGTCTCTTCAGTGAGTCCTTGTTTAGGCTGCATTCAGACATTTAATAGGATAAGGTTGTAAAACATGTCATAATACAGTGAAAAGGTAGAGTAAAAACTATCTTAAAATCATTGCCTTTAAAAAAAGTTTTTTTTTGAACAAAGGGAAAGTAATGACAAGCTGTCTTCATTGATGGTAGGACGAACCACTTCAGCTGAGATCACATTTCCTTGGTGCATTTTTGCTGAGGAGAATTACATGGGGTTATCACTACTGGAATGATTCTCGAAAGGTGTATGGGTAGGGAAAGTCGGGAAGGAGACACCTTGTGTGTCATCCGGGATCGAAGCTCCTCTGCTTTGGGTCCTCTAGCCCAGTCCTTTCTCCCCTTGCCAGGGCTGTAGCATGGGAATGAATTTAGTTTCTTTGCTGTTTTGGACACGATGTACAGTGTTAATAGGACCAGTGCTTGCACAAAGACGACAACTTTTGATTCTGAAAGCTGATGGCCGGCATCCTGTCTCCCCAGTTTTTAAAATTATTTCTTTCTTAAGCTTCGCCTCCCTAATGTAATTTCAAAAGTTCGCTGGCGGGGAGGGCCGGCAGGAGCGCGTACCGGCTTCCCCCGCCGCTGGAGCTGCCAGGGAGCTGTCCAGCACCGCGGCGGGACTGGCGGCGCGGCCAGGGAGGCAGCCACGAGAGGGCCCCGGGATCGTCCCCACTCCCCGCGCTGGCCCCGCCGCTCCCCGCGGAGCCGTGCGCGGGTACCGGGCCACCTCCCCGCTTCCCTCAGCCCTGCTCCAAAGCTCCAAAGCGCAGAGCGGAGCGCCTTGCCGCCCTCCCGGCAGCCGGCAGCGGCGGGAGCGCGGGGTGAGAGCCGGCCGTGCCCTGGGCCCGCCCCGCCGGTCGCTGGGGGCATCTCCGCGGCGCGGAGCAGCGGGGCCGGCGGGGCCGCGGAGAGCGGAGGCGAGCGCGACAGGCGGCGAGCGGGGCGAGGGAGGCGGGAGGAGGTGGAGGAGGAGGAGGGGGAAAGGGCTCCAAACAACACGTGATCCCCGCGGAGCAGCGAGAGAGCCGGGGGAGGGGAGAGCGGGGCGGGCGGCCGAGGCAGAGGAGGGCAGCAGCCACCGCGGTTGCCGCCGCCGCCGCTTTAAAGGCTCCCGGCGCGGCGCGGCGCGGCACCCGCGCTCCCGGCCCGGCGCGGAGAGGCGCGG